TCCCGTCGCCCCCTCTCTCCCCCGTCCATGGCCGACGCCCCGCCGACTTCCGGTGGCCTAGCCGTCGACCCGCCCGCAAAGGTGGAGAAGAAGGCACCAAGGAAGCCGCGGTCGGAGTGCACACCGGAGGAGATCGCCAAGTTGGACGCGGAATCGGCGAAGAGGAGGGAACGGAGAGCGGTCGTCAAGGTCAATGCCGTCGCGGCCAAGTTCGCCGCCCAGCGCGATGAGCTGGAGGCCGCGCGGCGCAAGGCCGCGGCCGACGAGAAGGAGGACCTCGTCAACAAAGCGCACGCCATCCTCATGCTTGGCATGGGCCGTCCGGCCGGGTTCCCTGCAGCAGCCGTCGGCCCGGCGAGCACAGCACTGCCAGTCGCCGACATCGCGCACCGCACCCATGTCGCCCGGCTTTCCTCCGCCAAGGCACGACGATCAGACCCGTTTCTTGGGGTCGCCGGACGTGGACTTGTTCGCGCCGTCGACACCGCGCCCCGCGGCCGTCATCGACCTCAACGCCACGCCTGGGTCCAGCAACGGCGGCCGGCCGGCCGTCGAGATGCAAAGAAAGCAGGCACGGGCACCGTTCACGGGCACCATGCCGGCCGGCCGTCCGTCGAGATGCAAAGAAAGCAGGCACGGGCAACGTTGCTTTTGGTTTTTTAAATAGACACGGACAGGGTGGGGCAAATGGATGCGGCCGCGCGCTGGGCGCACGGCCACCGCATCCCAGCACACGCCTGGACACGACTCTAAATCCCTACCCAAACGAACAGAGTCCGGACAAAACTGACGTCTATTTAGGGTCGCGCGGTGGAGTTGGCCCTAGTCTACGCTCTTGGCAGGGTAATGTCCTGGGCCGCAGGTACAGGACGGAGCGGGACGTCGGCGCTGTTACCATGGAACGACGTGACGGAACAATGTGGGCTAGCTGCGTACATTAAAGCTGCGTCGTCTGACCCATGAGCCTATTCTTTTCATAAATCTTGAGATGTGGGAAGGTGTGTGATACCGTGAATCCGTGATCATCCGAGGACGACCACTCCTTCCAATTTTTGGTCAATCGACCAGCTACAAACACATAACTAACAACTCGCTATCCGATGTCTCATTTGAAACTAGCTTAGATGCAGTAAATGATGCACATGTTATAATGCCTATTCTGTCTAACTTAGAAAATAAACTCTCGCTTGCATCGTCGTTGTGTTGTCAAGTTTGTGAACTACCTATCCCGGGTCATTTACCATGCCACTAGAAATTTCCCGCTAAATCACATCGCTAAGATTAAACGATATGTTGTTTTGGACGAAAATATGTATCATTGGTATATAAGTAGAATTCTGTTGAAGTAAAATTTGGTGTGTTTTGTCTATGAGGACGTGTCTGAAGGGAAGGCACATGGGTCGATAACATCAACATCAAAGATGTGGAGGAGTGCTAACAAATACTCCTATATATTAGTTGATTGTATGATTCATACTATCAATGATTATTAGGTGTATACGTAGTAGATGCTTTATTTATAAGAGCCTATTTGTATCTAGTATCTTATTTACAGACGAGTTTATATATGTTGATAATGATGCTCCTATTGTAATGCATTTTGTGGCTAGTCACGAAAATGAACCCCGTGGGATACGATTGTCATTGCGATGTCTTGTATGTCAATTATGTATCTCTCTCCATTTACCGTGCTGCTTGCAATTTCCTAGTGCCTCCCATGCCCACGAGTAGATGATATACCATTTTCCACAAGAATATGTATCATGGAATCCATGTAAAAGCGTAGCTCGGTGTCTTTTGGCTTGGAGAGTGTGTTTGAGGAAAAGGAAAATGTGTCAAGAAAATCGATACCATATATGAGAAGGAGCACCGAAAAGTATGTATATATTGGTGGAATGTATGATACCATATATGAGAAGGAGCACTGAAAAATATGTATATATTGGTGTATGAGGGGAGTAAAACCGCGGCAAGTGATACTAGCTCCACTGCTCAAGTGTATTCTCTTTTGTTAGCAGGCATCAAGGTAATTTATGTGACAGACACACGCATAGCATAAACAAAAGATAGTATAGATAGAAGTTCATTTTGATTAGGCCAGCACACTCTTCTTAAATATGAATTTTTGGTTCCATACTCTTATAACTTGGATACCCCTATTGGATAAAGGCACGTTATGATTTAGCATGCAACCTGCTAACCCATGCAATTACGGATAAACAACACTCTTCTTCAATATGTACAAGTCCTAGGGGGATATGAGTCACAACCGTATAGAATGGATGATGAAGTTTCAGCTTCAAAGAAAGAACGCCGCCCTTGTTTGTGGGAGCCTCATCTCCTACTGCATGGCGTCCATGGCACTGCAGAGAACGTTTCTTGTACAGAAATGATACTTGAACCCCATATCAGTCTCGTGTTCACAAGGTTTGATGCTGATGTATACTTCCCAATGCCTTCAATGTCTACAAGCAATGAAACAGCCCAAGGCGAATGGCAATATAGTATACAACGAAATGCTAAAGCTGACGACATACCAACAATGCCAGAGGAGGAACTCCGTATAAATATACAGGGAAGATCCAGATCCTCAGCCATCGTGATGCAATAAGTAAGGTAGATGGCAAGGACTCAATCAGATGTAGGAGTATATATGAAGGCACAGAACAAACTCGGTCGAGTAACAGTACAAATGTTCAATACTTCACGGGTACAATAACAACATAAAAACAACAAAGCAGCTGGTGCTTATTGTAACTTTCTGCCGCAAGCTCGGCATTATATAAAGCCTCGTTTTGCTAGCTCGGGTTTAAATCAAGCCGCGTTTCGATCATCACCAAGTCGGTCGGTTACAAACTGACGGCAGGGAACTCACATCCAATGCCTAGTTTACAAAGGTATTAGGACCACCTCTTGCTAAGTAGTTTTGATACTGTTAGGTCCGTATCACCGAATCCATCCATGACGGCCTTTGCGGAGTGAAATTCTGCTCTAGCAGTTAGGCTGGGAAGGGCAGACAGAAGTAAGATAACAAGCAACATAATTCAGTACTGACTACTGAAGATGAAATCAGTCACCTGCTTCGGACAACTATGCACGGCATGCCAATGCGCTCAGCTGCGATGACGCTGGGTTGGCTACCCGCTACAAGGATGCAGTTTTGCACATTGCATCCCACATATTCGGCCCCAGCTCGCAGCGTGGCTATTATCTTCTCGGAACTGAGTCGTGATTGAACAGTGAATTCCAGATATATTACTCCAATGCAAGAAAATAATGCTTAATCCGCAGATAGTAATAACCTTTTAGATGCTGTGTTAATGTCAACGCTGAGTTTTAGAAGTGATGCAACCTCTTCTGCTATCCTCTGTTTCTCTGCAGAAGCTGTCACAACCAAGCATATGGAAATAAGCTCAGACGGCACTAGGAATATTAAATATTAGCAAGAATGCAATTGCTCTAATCAGTAATGCTCACCGGCCTTTTGTACTTCCTTGGTAAGTTGTTCATCCAAACTGGAGGCAACTCCTTCACCAAGAACAAGCTGCCCATAAAGACTTCTTTCAACCTCGTCTTTTCCAACAATGTTTATTTTCGACGTTCTCTCAGGGCCTAACTTCTCAACTATTGATCTGCAGTGGGGAAAAAAATGTACATTACAGTGTTTACTGGATGTCATTACCATGAACACAGGTGCCAGGCTTATTTTGAAACTTTGAAACAAATGCAAGTGTTGACATGGAAAAAAATTCTCCCCAGAAAGGGAGATAACAAATAGGAGCAACTAAACATTAAACCAAACCTTGAAATCTTCTCTCCATTTCTGCCATATGTTGCCAATATGGCTACAGGCACACCCTCACTAAGTGCATCATCGATGAACCTTCAAATTATTTTCATACACAATATCAGACATGAGGTAACATAATGTCAAGGAAAGAGTCGTTCATAGAGCAAACACAGGGCACATAAAAGAGACAATAACTAAAAAATGATTATTTATTGACACTAAAGCATGCTGAATGGGTAAGAACATGAAGAAATTTTTGAGTATGTGTTATGACTACAATCCCTTATTGCATATAACAGCAAACTCCTCACATACGAGGCAATCTATTTATCCAAAGACCTATAATTCGTTGAAATTTCGCAGGGCGGAAGAATAGCTCATGGCTTCTTACAGTTAATTCGTGATATCCTGAAAGTGCTCATCAATCATAACTCAAACTCTCTTGGAACTCTTTCTCTAGAAAGGTTTGCAACAAATATAGATACGCAGGAAACAGTAAACATACTTCTCAACTCCAGGACGCAGTGGTAAGTCATCAGAAGCAGAGAGCTTTTCCAAAGCTTTCAACTATGAGAAGAATAAACCTATTAGCCTTTTAGTCTATGAGAAGAATAAACTCGTCAATTGGTTCAAAATCAAACTGTAAATTAGATCACGTAAGGACAGAAACCCTTAGTCATTTTGGATTCGGGTGTAAAATTAAACTCATATATATTCAAGATCAACCGTAAATTACAAAGCAAACATAAAACTGAGTGCATTGAACAGGAAATAAGCAATTTAACCCTGTTTCAAGGTTATTATTCAAATCCGGTGCCTTCCGGAGTCCCAGTTGTAACTTGTAAATATCAGTTTGCTACCCACCTTCCTTAGCAGAACAAAGGATGATATACCCATGAGAATGAGGATATTGATTGAATACAGTTAGTTCTAAACGTGAAATGAGGTGAATCACATTGCAAATTTTAGTTGGAATCAAGATAGGTGCCTATGATCAAAATTTTAATAGCAGGCTGGTGATATTTCTAGATAATATTTTAGGTACATGCATTAGAGTAAAGCTGCTAAAGAATGGTTGGTAAAATATATATCTACCTTCTCACTAAGAACACGTTTTGTAAATGACCCTTTCTCACTAGTTGGCAGAGATGTAGGCCAGCCAATCTGCATCAAATTGGGTGAAAGGGTGGAGATGAGTATGCATTTATTTCCAATGTTTCCATCCATCAGAAAATGTAATTAGTCAGGTCCACAACACTATGTTAAAATATGAGCAGTTATGTTGTACAGGAGAAATAAATAAGTAGTCCTATTTAACCAAGTAGGAAAGTTGGGAGAAGAAACAGAGGGTACCCTATCAAAGAACAGCACCAGCATCCTTTCCTCGTCGCCACTAGATTTCCTAGAAAACTATGATGGTTTAGGAAAATAAATAAAAATATGGATAAAATGGGAATGGGAACAAATTCACATGCAGCCTAGTCCAAACATGTTTATAAAGGAGCTAGGAGCAGATAATAATCACTCGAAGCCACAGGATGGAAGAAATAGAAGAGGGAAATATTAAAATTAGTGATGTCAATGGTCAACCTGTGATACTCAGGTCTATGTGGCTGAAGAATTCAATACGCACCTCACTAAATCAGCATATATTGGCTCTGTCCAATTCGCACAATCCAAGCCAAGATTTTGAAATGCTGATGGAAGAAAATGTTGGATAGCGTTAAAACAAGATGACGAGTAAGAACGACACAAACTTACACTTGCAAGATCTCTATTGTGTTAAACTCCTAGTCATACAGGTTTGATTCTACAGAGAACAGTTATTGAGTAGGCAAATACTGCACACTAGTGCTGCCACATTGTCTACTCATTTCATGTTTTCCACTTAAATGTTGGCATGTCATAGACTAAGAAAATGAAGTATCAAACAAATTGAATAGTACTTGGTAAGGGCGTTAAGCAAAGATGTATATTTACATTGTCCGCACCTACATTGAAAGCTTGGCGGTAGCCGAAGCGGTAGACATCTGCAAGAACTCTGGAAGAAGATAGAAACACAATATTCAATCAAAAAGCACAAAAGGGACATACAGAGTTATCGGTACACGTCACTTAACAACAAACAAGTTACTACTACATGGCACGATAATAGCCAAAGTCAGTACTGGAATACAGCCAAAGTTAGTACCGGAATACCACAAACTGTTTAGCTGCCTTGAATAGGTGAACCCTACAGGCAACACATTTCCTCAGCAGAATAAAGCTAATGAGAAATTGCTAGTAGTATTTGCACAAAGAATGAAACATGGTGCATATTAAATCGATGTGATAGCGCAATCACGGTACAAGATATGTCATCGACTTCTAGCCTCAGGAGAACTGGTAACTCCTGCATTTCTCAACACTTACAGAGCAGCTCTATACGGTGATTCCTACTCTATCCTTGCAGCCAGCTGACTAGATGGGTAACAGCAATCTCTACAGCTACAGCAATACCAGAAACTAGTCATGTGTCCAGAAACTAGTCTTGACTCGGGATAATTCCTGCATTTACAGAGCAGTTCTATCCCATAACTCCTGCTCTATCCCTGTAGCCAGATGACTAGATGAGCAACAGCAATATCTGCAGCTACAGCAACTGAATCAATATGTAGCAAACTACTACTGATCTGTGATACAGAAACAGAGCAGGTCACACTTTTGGGGGATCCAAGTAGTGTTAGAATCCAACAGCCAATCAGCAAAAATACAGGATTTTTGGGGGTCCTGACCCTTCCACTTCGAGGAGCACGGCGAGCCCCGGCTCGGCGGAGCCTCCTGATGGCGGGGAGGAGCACCGGAGCGGCATCGGCCGGAGACGGCGGGCTGAACTCGGGGAGGCGGCCGCGCGGAGAGGGAGCGGGGTGGCGCTGGAGGAGGCGTGGACGGAGGAAGGGGTCTTCGTGGCCTCAGTCCGGGGCGATGGCCGGAGCATGAGGCATCGAGCGGCGGCGGCGGCGGCGGCCATGGCGGCGGAGGGTGCGCGGTGAGGCGAGGCGAGCTACCAGACGTGGAGATATGTGTTCGGTCGGCCACTGGACTTGTGGACCCAACGTCAAGTGGAACATATGCTCCAACTGAATTCCATTTCCTTTTTTTTCTTCTTCTTATCTTAGAGATATGGTCAAATAGTTTGAAATGTGCACAAATTTCGAATGCATAACCTAATTTTATTTTTGTTTCTAGATTTCCTACATCACAGCTAACTGAAGACAATCTCATATGGTTAAATTGTTTCAAATGCGGTCAAATTTCAATTACTCGAGCTACTTTTTTTGGGGGTTCTAGACGCTGATATGGTGCAAATTTTTGCGAGGAAAAAAAGGGGCACTGCAACTTCGTATTGGTAGAAAGAGAAACATCATCATCCATGAAAAACATATCCCAAATGCTAGCGCTCCAGCTGTCGATCAGACTGTGAAATTGTGTCAAATGGAGGGAAGCGCCAACAGGTGAGGATAGGGGTGAGACGGTGGTTTTTGTCCCCTTCTGTTTGTATCACATTTCTCCAGCTTGTCTGCTTCCTCACAACGTGCGATCCACCGCCGCCTCCATTAGAATTGGGTGGCTCGCCGGCAACCGTGTGGGAGAGTAACAACATCGGTGCGACACCATGCAGGGGAGCGACATCCAGCGGGAAGGCACGAGCATGGAGGAGGAAAAGTAAGGAGGGCAGGCTTGCACGCACTTGCATGAGGGGACGGGGAGGCTATTGGCGGGAAGGAAGGGATGGAGAGGCGGGAGGCTTCCAGTGTACGGGAGGGATGTGTGGGAGGCTACCGACGGTTAGGGAAGGCCAAAATTTGTCCTCAATCGACGCTCACCTCGGTGCTAGCTCCCCGTGATTATTTTCTACGTTTCTCTAGAAACGGTTCGTTGCAGAGGGAGGGAGAGGGGTGAATGTTGTGTGAGGAAGGGAGGTCGGTATACACGAAGGCCTGCACGAGGAAGGAGATAGCACGGGTCACCGAATCCCAGCAGTAGAGGAGAGTGAGGATGAAAGAGGGACGTGGTGCATGAGTGCTGCATTGGGATTTTCTCGAAGAAGAGAGGATGATGCAATACACTAGAGATAAGTATTGCCCACAGTTAAGAACCAAGGTTATCAATATAATAGGAGAACCACGATGAAACCTCGTTAGCAGCACCTACACACAAAGCAAATACTTGCACCCAACGCGATAAAGGGGGTTGTCAATCCCCTCGGCAGTTACTTGTAAGGATCAAAACTCATAGTGATAGATAGATAAAATAAAATACAAAATAAAACAACGATAAATAAAATGCAGTAAGGGATTTTTGAATTTTATATATGATAAAAGTAGACCCGGGGGGCATAGTTTTCAGTATAGGCTTCTCTCGACAACAATCATATGGTTTGTAAATAAATTACTGATGGGCAATTGATAGAAAAGCGTATAGTTATGACGATATTCAAGGCAATGATTATATATATAGAAATCATGTCCGACACAAGTAGACCGACTTCTATCTGCATCTACTAATGTTACTCCATCCATCGACTGTTATCCAGCATGCATCTAAAGTATTAAGTTAATAAAAACAGAGTAACGTCTTAAGCAAGATGACATGATGTAGACAAAGTAAATATAACCAATATGAATAAACCCCGTTGTTTTTCTCTTAATGGCAACAATAAGACTTTGTCACTGGGATATAGAGCACCACAGGATTGAACACATTACAAAGCACCTCTCCCATTGATGATGTTGCCACCTTATTTTCTTTCTCACAGTTGGTCAGCGTTCCTTTATATTTGTTGCTTGGTTGGGCCTTACGGAGCCGCTGGCACGTACTAGATGTTGTCTTGCACTCTGGTTGCTTTCTTGCGCCTCCAATTCTTTCTTTTGTTCCTTCTTTCTTAAGCCTTGTTTCCTTCTAGGTGATGATTTTCATCCATGTTTAAGCTATTTCCCCATGGAAACAAATTAAACAAAGAATTTCACGATCTCTCACATTCATTACTCATTAGTGGTAATATCAGAGTGATTTTCTCAAAAATCCCAAGATTATCCATTTTAAACAATGGGGTGATCAGCGCAAAAAATATCATTCATCAGAAGGGAGGCGTTGGTGCTGGCATTTTGCTGCTCGAGTCGCCTGCGCGGGGCGACACGTGGGAGTAGGGGGGAGGGGGTGTTGCTTAATCAAAGTTCTCGATCACGATCACTCGCTCGCTTGCGCCGCTCCGGCGAGCGGCCGGGCAAAACCCTAGTCCATCGCCGTCGCCTCCCACACCTTCGCCTTCCCCTCCCTCGCCGCCGCCAGGGGACGGCGCCGGGCAAAGCCTGTACGTGCGTCGGCGGCGGCAGGGTCCTTCCCTCCCCACGAGGCGCGGGCGGCGCGGGACGTCTGGCTTCCGTGGTGGCGCGTGTGGCCAAGAACGGCGTGCAGTCGAGTGAATCTGGTGTGGGGGCGGCCAGGAGAGGGCGGATCTGGCGCCGGCGAGGGCATGGCGCGGCCTACCGCGGAGGCGGCTAAGCGAGCGGATTTGTCGCTGACGAGAGCGCGCGTCCAGGGGCGAGCGGGCGTGCTGCGCGGCCTGGCCCGGTGGCGGCCAGGCGAGGGCGCGCGTGGACGCGGCCCGGGGTGGGTGCGACCTGTCGCGGTGGCGGCCAGGCGAGGACGCGTGGAGGTCTGCGGTCACATAGAGTCATATTTTGTTCTAAGTATCGAGTTGTAATTGTTGAGTTATAAGAAAAATAAAAGTGTGATGATTATCATTATTAGAGCATTGTCCCAGTGAGGAAAGAATGATGAAAACTATGATTCCCCCATAAGTCGGGATGAGACTTCGGATGAAAAAAAAGAGGCCAAAGAAGCCCAAATATATATAAAAAAAGAGGCCATAAAAAAGAGAAAAGGCCCAAATAAAAATAAAAAATGAGAGAAAAAGAGAGAAGGGACAATGTTACTATCCTTTTACCACACTTGTGCTTCAAAGTAGCACCATGATCTTCATAGTAGAGAGTCTCTCATGTTATCACTTTCATATACTAGTGTGAATTTTTCATTATAGAACTTGGCTTGTATATTCCAATGATGGACTTCCTCAAAAATTGCCCTAGGTCTTAATGAGCAAGCAAGTTGGATGCACACCCACTTAGTTTCTTTTTGAGCTTTCATATACTTATAGCTCTAGTGCATCCGTTGCATGGCAATCCCTACTCACTCACATTGATATCTATTGATGGGCATCTCCATAGCCCGTTGATACGTCTAGTTGATGTGAGACCATCTTCTCCTTTTTGTCTTCTCCATAACCACCATTCTATTCCACTTATAGTGTTATATCCATGGCTCACGCTCATGTATTGCTTGAAGATTGAAAAAGTTTCGAAAAAGTTAGAGTATGAAACAATTGCTTGGCTTGTCATCGGGGTTGTGCATGATTTAAATACTTTGTGTGGTGAAGATGGAGCATAGCCAGACTATATGATTTTGTAGGGATAACTTTCTTTGGACATGTTATTTTGAGAGAAGACATAATTGCTTTATTAGTATGCTTGAAGTATTATTATTTTTTATGTCAATATAAACTTTTTCTTGAATCTTTCTAATCTGAATATTCATACCACAATTAAGAAGATTTACATTGAAATTATGCCAAGTAGCACTCCGCATCAAAAATTCTCTTTTTATCATTTACCTACTCGAGGACGAGCAGGAATTAAGCTTGGGGATGCCTGATACGTCTCCAACGTATCTATAATTTTTTATTGCTCCATGCTATATTATCTACTGTTTTGGACTATATTGGGCTTTATTTTCCACTTTTATATTTTTTTTGGGACTAACCCATTAACCGGAGGCCCAGCCCAGAATTGCTGTTTTTTTGCCTATTTCAGTGTTTCGGATAAACGGAATATCAAACGGAGTCCAAACGGAATAAAATCTTCGGGAACGTGATCCAGGAGACTTGGACCCTGCTCCAAGGAACAAAAGAGGCGGTCACGGGGGTGGGGGCGCCCCCCCTAGGGCGCGCCCCCTGCCTCGTGGGCCCCTTGTTGCTCCTCCAGCGTACTTCTTCCTCCTATATATACACACGTACCCCCAAACGATCAGAACAAGAGCCAAAAACCTAATTCCACCGCCGCAACTTTCTGTATCCATGAGATCCCATCTTGGGGCCTGTTCCGGAGCTCCACCGGAAGAGAGCCGTCATCACGGAGGGCTTCTACATCATCATAGCCTCTCCGATGAAGTGTGAGTAGTTTTCCTCAGACCTTCGGGTCCATAGTTAGTAGCTAGATGGCTTCTTCTCTCTCTTTGAATCTCAATACAAAGTTCGCCCCCTCTCTTGTGGAGATCTATTCGATGTAATCTTCTTTTTGCGGTGTGTTTGTTGAGACCGATGAATTGTGGGTTTATGATCAAGTCTATCTATGAATAATATTTGAATCTTCTCTGAATTCTTTTATGTATGATTGGTTATCTTTGCAAGTCTCTTCAAATTATCCGTTTGGTTTGGCCAACTAGATTGGTAGTTCTTGCCATGGGAGAAGTGCTTAGCTTTGGGTTCGATCTTGCGATATCCTTACCCAGTGACAGAAGGGGCAGCAAGGCACGTATTGTATCATTGCCATCGAGGATAACAAGATGGGGTTTATTTCATATTGCATGAATTTATCTCTCTACATCATGTCATCTTGCTTAAGGCGTTACTCTGTTTTTAACTTAATACTCTAGATGCATGCTGGATAGCAGTCGATGAGTGGAGTAATAGTAGTAGATGCAGAATCGTTTCGATCTACTTGTCACGGACGTGATGCCTATATACATGATCATGCCTAGATATTATCATAACTATGCTCAATTCTTTCAATTGCTCAATAGTAATTTGTTCACCCACCATAGAATACTTATGCTCTTGAGAGAAGCCACTAGTGAAACCTATGGCCCCTGGGTCTATTCTCATCATATCAATCTCCATTACTTTCATCTTGC